TATATCTCTATTATGATCATTCTGTATAAACTAGTACATTCACAACAATTGAGTCTTACCAGAGATCACAAACTCAAATGACTATGGTGCCGGCAGGTAACAAATGACAGAAGCAAGCTGGGGTGGGGTGGGGTGTGGGGAGGCAGTGGCGGCCTGGAACTGGCATATCCTGTCTAAAAGAGGCAGCACCACTCAGCTCCAGCCATCCCTCCCTCCCTGCAGGCTCCACTGATGGAGCAGACTCCTGCCTTCAGCCTGCTTAATGAGTTTGGAGCTTATATTCTAGTGGGGGGAAGATACAGACCATAAGAAATCTATGTAATAATAAATAAAGATGGGTAAATACAGACTCTAAGAAGGTGGTAACTACTATGGAAAAAAGGAAAACCTGGGAGTGCTCGGTACCGGGAAATATCAGGGGGCCGGGGGTTATAAATCTTCCAATTTTTTCAGGAGAACTTAAGAATCCAGACTGATACAAAACATGATTTTGAAAGAGCTGCACTAACTCACATTTTAAAAGTACTACATGAGCCAAACAAAATATATGTCCATGGGCCGAAGAAGATCTGGGCTATCCTATTTTTTGCCATTTTGATGCTAGTTTTAGTGCTTCTCAAAGTGAGGTCCTTGGACTATCAGCATCATCTGGGAACTTCCTAGAAATGCAAATTCCTGGACTTTCCTCCAGAATCTGAAACTCTGGGAGTGGGGCTCAGTAAGCTGTCTTTCAATAAGCCCTCGAGTTGATTCTGATGCACATTCCAGATTGAGGTCATGGCACTAGATAACTGTTTGGTGACTGACGAAGCACACAGCTCATTAATCATCTGTGTCGACATAGTTGGAAAGCATTCCTTTGACGAGGAATGAAGAGACACAGGTGACTAGAACACTGAAAACCTCACAGGCTGCCTAAAAGGTATGGCCCCCAACCCATACTTTTTTTTTTAAAGGCCACTGGAAAAGCATGACTACATAGCATACATGTTCAGGGCAGATACCATCATAAAACAGGCACTTTCTATTCTTACATCATGTGATCAGAGCCACCTGTATTATGTACCTGAGAAAAGTGCTACCAGACAGGCTAGGGCTAACCGTAACACCCTCCCCGCCCTCACCAGCAGATCAATGCCCCTGACCTCCACCTGCTGCCCTGATGGTCCTGAAGGAAGAAGACAACTGTATGAGAAAACCACTTTAATAGCAACACGGAAATATTAAAATCGCGAAGAAATGTATATTGAACATGAAGAAGTTCTGAAAGCATTTTCTTTCCTCAAAGTCTAATTCCCCAGTATTACTCAAGAAGAGGATTGATTGCTTAAGAGAAAAAATATTTTTTAGTTATAATTCGTTCTCAAAGTTGGTACCGAATGATTAAAATAAACAAAATCCACCACAACCTCAAGTCTCCCAACTCCTGAGGATCTTGCTGGTTTAAACTCTTTTATTTTAAGCCTTCTTTTAGCCAGAAAGTCTTACCTTCATTTTGACCTTTGCACAGGAGGCTAGACTTTCTCGGCAGCCTTTGTGGACAAAAGCACTGCAATCTGAAAAGAAAGCAAACCCAAGGTCACACGGACAAAGCAAACAGATTCCAGATTCTGAGTTTCCACTGCTGCCACAAGTGGCCTCTGAATTTCAAAGTGAAGTCACTCACATGTGAGAGTGTGACTAACTGAAATTACAGATTGCAGTCCTCTTCTAGGAAGCAGGTCTGTGATGTTATTTGGAGGAGGAAAAACATGAGCAGATGTGATTTCTTTTTTTTTTTCCCCAGTGTTGTGTCTTTATTTGGAGACTGGGAGACAGATTACAGCTTAATGAGAGGAACGACGACTCAAGTGATCTCATGGGAAGGGTGAGTTTCCTGGCCCTCAGCGAGTGACAGATGTGATTTCTAATTAACAAAAACTAGTAAGTCTGGAACTTCTCAGACAGGAAGCTGAGAGGCTACCAAAACTAAAAGTGAAAGTGTCTGCCATCAATGTGTAAGTCTAAATTACAAATAAATACATAAATAAAGCCCCCAATAGGGGTTACAAAATTTGTATGACTGTAATAAAGCACAGAATATAAAATCTGAAAAGTTTAACTATGCTGGGCTTTTTGCAACCCATTCTCTGAGACAGGAACCACACACGAAAGGTCATCAGAACCCCACATGCACCTCTGGGAATTGTGACTTAAGAGAAAATGGAGACTTCTTGAAAGATAAAGCAGAGACCACAATTTGGCAAGGACAGCATTGTATCTTAATTCCTTTACTTTTCACTCCCTTGGCTGACAAGGGCCACTGACGTAAAAACCCAGGCCTCTGTGTCCAGAAGGCTTACCATCAGCTCTCAGTGCTGCTATAAAGTCACATAACAGAACCGTTCCAGGAAGCCAGAGGTAAAGCAGAAACAAACGAAAGATCTGTCTGTGGGGACACTCGAAGAGGAGATACTCTCATGGGAAGGGCTCACTCAGAAAATCAACCACAGATACCATTCAATAGGCAATGCCCCACAGACTGATTCAGGAAGCGTCACAGGTCCTGTCTATACCAACTCACCAGTTAGGTGCCAACATCTCTTTAGCCCAGACGTATGGATTTGGGGGTGACTGGAGTGGTGATGGGGAGGGGAGGAAACCAGAAAGGAGACTGCTAGAATCCCAGACCTCAAAGGCCTTTTCCATTCCTTTTGTAACACTTCCTTTAACAACCACTTGGTTCACAGGTCTCCTCCTTAATACCACCGGCACAGTGTATTGAGATTCTCTTGGGTTTTTCTCTATCCCCTTTCTGGGGCAGGGACCATTCACCCACTGCTGAATCTTCAATTAAGCCTCTCTAGCATAGTGCCTGGATCATGCATCCTATTCAAATGCCCCTCTGTAGGCCCTACTATGCCTATTTAAACTAAAATTAGATGAATGCCCTATTACAGCCTTGATTACAGTATGTCAAATATCAATTTAGTAACACAAAAGGACAAACAGCTGTCAAACTAAATTTGATGTAGGTCCTGGCTTTGCTTATTAGTTAGTATGATCCTAGCACAAGTCCCTTCTGGACAGGCCCCTGTTTCCTCATCTATAAAATTAAAAAGGAGGAACCACATTTTCTCCCAGGTTCCCTCTGCTGTGATTCTATTAGATGGGTAAGTGAGTTTCAGGCTGCTGGACCCACAGCAAGAAGTATAACAAAGTGGTCGAGGCAAATGACTTTATTTATTTTCTAGTAAGCCAAAATGTGTTTCTGCCCATCCTCACAAGCACTATTCTTACTCAGGGTGTATGGTGCACCTCCCCTCCTCTGCCACAGAGATGCCTGGGACTTGCAGCTGGCATGCTCCTTTCTGGTTTCTTCCCCTCCCATTAGTTGATCCATCATCTCCTTCTCATGCACAGACTTGAAAGCCCACCGCATCCAAACCCTTTCTCTTCACAAATCCCAACTCAGCTAAAGTCTTTCAAATACATCATCTTTAAGTCCATTTCTCTTTCCCTTCTACAGAAAAAGTATGCAAAGACTATGAGCAGGCAAAGTTAATGATTAGTAGATCTATGTTTTTCAGCATGATGATTCCTCAATATATAATACTGAAGAGAATAAAGCAAATTGCAAAATGAGAGGTATTGTATGGTAGCATTTATGTAAGCTAAAAACAAAAACAAATTATAAGTTGTTTATGTATGAGAATAAATTATAAAACACAGACTACAAATGCACTGAATTCATGATAGTGCTTGTCCTTGGGGAGGAAGGAAGATGCATGGGGCAGGGAAACAAAGGGGAATCCGAACTTAATCATAATGGTTTCTTAAAAAGTGAAACAATCTGAAGCAGTATGACAGAATATTACTATGTGTTCATTTTGAATCATGGACACATATGTGTTAAATTACCTACGTACAATACTTTGTATTAACATTTTTCAAAATTAAAAAAATTTTTAATTTTTAAAAAATCATCACACTCTGTCTTTCAAAGTTCCTTGGATTTGCTTATAAGCATTTCCATATCCTTTTGAATAATCCATTTATCACATCTTGTGATAACTTAAAAATAAGATTTTATTGTCTTATAATCCAGTTATAAAAGCACATTTTTTTCTTGTGTTTTATTGAACGTCTAGAATATTTTAGGCACTTAAGGGCAACACAGGAGGTGGTAGATTTGCTAGAGAACCAGCTACTAACTCTGATCTGCAAAAGTGACCAAGAACACTATGGGCAAAATTTGTTTCCAAGTTCTGTTCTTTCTGTTCCTTTCTTCCCAACCAATTCCAACACCCTACAGAGATTTAAACAATGATGATTTTTAAGGGAGTGGCACTATCACTTTTAAAAAGGCTTCAGCAATATTCAAACTCTCAGGCTAGTGTTTGAGTGTCTGAGATGAATCATAAAAGCAGAAAAAAAAATCATTTAAAATGTGTTTCTAGTAAAGAACTTTTCATATAAATTAACTTTTAATTAATTGAAACGTCCCCAAACCCACAACCCAGTTGGAAGTTTAACAGGCTCTATATTATGGTCATGAGTCTTGTCTTAGTGATAGTCTGCATGGACATCTCCTTAAGATGCTGAAGTACCTACTTGAAAAACACTCAACTTGTTTCCAAGTTGTCCTGGACTCAATTAACAGTGACAGTTTTAGTGCTGTGCGTGGGTGATTTAGAAACTTCAGCCCCATTGACATCAGCCGAAGTCATGAGATTAAAATCTTACTCTCTGTTTGGGAAAACAGAAAATTACCAAGAACACAAGAATTGAAGACAAATCTAATACATTTTTAAGCTCTCTGCCACAAACCATACCATGCTGTTATGAAGATCAGAGAAGAATTATCTGGCCTTTTATTTATTTGATAGATTTCCTAATAGCAGCAGGCAATATGCTTTTATTTTAAAAAATCCTTCAAAAAGGTCTCAGCACAGTGGTTTATGGGAACAGAGCTAACCCCTAATTGGATTCCTCTGAACTTAAAACAAACAGCCCAGCTTTCAACTTCTTTCTTTGCTACAAGGAGGCATCAAACCAAAGAAAATGAAGTTAAATCCACATGACTAGAAACTATCATCTATCTATTGCTGTATCTTTTTTTTAGCCCATGCCACCAACCACCAAAGATCTTTGGAGAATGGTTATATACTATGTGTTTTTTATCTTTGGGAAGAAAAATAAAACAAACCATTAGCGAGGCTAACTTAAGAAAATCAACTTTATAAAATGATAAGAGGAGTGGCTATGCCAAACTGAAATGAAATGACAGAATAGCAAAGGACTGCCTACATAGAAACGAGTCACCTTTGTGAGCTAAGTCATATGTAGCCAGGGCTCTGACAAAAGAGGTCTTCTAGTACTTCAGTCCACTGATCATCATTTGGGAATAGGCTGAAGACTTCTGACTGTTCTGCCTACAGATGTGAGCAGCAAAATCTAACTGGGAAAAATGACCTGACCCTTCTTCAGGACATGAGTTGAAGAATTACCTTTAAGGACAGAAATGTACAACTTTCTCCTATTATTTCAACTCTAATCAAGAAAATGAAAATAAAACAAAAAAGTTAAATATGAGCAAATTTAGAAATGCATTCTACAAAATTCTTTCTGCAACTTCTTGTTTAAAATCTTTAACAAGGGCAACACGCCAAAACCCCACCTCTACAAAAAACACAAAAATTAACCAGGTATGGTGATGCATGCCTACAGCACCAGCTACTTATGAGGCTGAGGCAGGAGGATCACTTGAGCCTGGGACGTCAAGGCTGCAGTGAGCCATGATCACTCCACTCCACTCCAGCCTGGGCAACAGAGTGAGACCCTGTCTCTCAAAAAAAAAATTATTAAATATATATATAGTTTTTATTTTTTTGAGATGGAGTCTTGCTTTGTCACCCAAGCTGGAGTGCACTGGTATGATCTTGGCTCACTGCAACCTCCATCTCCTGGGTTCAAGCGATTCTGCTGTCTCAGCCTCTCGAGTAGCTGGGATTACCGGTCCGTGCCACTACGCCTGACTAATTTTTTGTATTTTTAGTAGAGATGGTATTTCGCCATGTTAGCCAGGTTGGTCTCAAACTCCTAACCTCAGGTGATTCACTCAGCCTTCCAAAGTGCTGGGATGACAGGCGTGAGCCACCGCACCTGGCCAATAAATAAAATCTTTGGGGGATTTGAGACATCGCCCTATCTGGACTAAGAGTGCTTATACGCCAAAGGCATGTGAGATGTTCTTGTAGCTGGTGTAATAACCACAGTGCTGATGTACAGAACAAGAGGAAAGCCACAAAAAAGAGCCAAATCATCTCAGCTGAAGTAGCCCCAACAGCAGTTTTCGTAAGAACACTGGTAAACAAAAATGAAACAAAATGAAAGTGTTCTGCTTAAAAAAGAATTGCCTTTATTGCTTAGGGTCTTTTTTTACCATCCTTTTCCCTAAGTAATAAATTTTCTTCCTTTAATCAATATGCATTTTACTCTCTCATATAAGCAATGAACTATAAATGCCAGAAAACTGTCTGTCCAGAGAGCAACTTTTCCTGATGAAATCAGAAGC